TTATTAGTTAATATTTAAGTACCTTAGCAAGACGGAAGAGGGTAAACTATTTTGATTTATCAATAATTATTACGATTTCCAAGTCAAAATTAGGTTATTAAGAGTTTTGGCAATAATCTGCTAAAAAAAGTTTTTTATTTTCCTTAATTGTGACTGTAGTCACTGTTAAGGAACACAAAGTTTCATAACTATAGTTATGAAATTTTGTTGTTTGCCACCAATATCGTAGAAAAATGTAACGATCAGTGTTACTTCTTTAAAAAAAAAAAAAAATCATAATGAATCCATGCATAATATCAATAATATTATGTACATATTGGGAGTACAAATTAGTTCGGCCAGTCTCTTGTGGTCAAAAATGCAGTTATTTCAGAACAAAATTAATGAACAGATTAATCAAAGTATTGTCCATCGCTGGCTACTACTTTTTCCCACCTCTCAGGCAATTTTTGAATTCCATCTCGAGAAAATGTCACGTCTTTTGAGGCGATCCAAGTAAGGAGCCAATTTTCGATTTCTGCGTAATAAGTGAACCGGTGACCTGCCAAATCGTACTGCATCTGTCGGAACAACCAGTAATCCGAAAGAGCAATATATTGCGAATACGGCGGGTGCGGTAAAATATCCCACTTGAGCGTTTCCAAATAATTTTTACGACTTGTGCGACATGAGTTCGACCGTTATCATGCAGAAGAATAACTTTGTCATGTCTTTGCTCCTATTCCAGCCGTTTTTCTCGCAATGCACGGCTCAAACGAATCAATAGTAGCCTATACTAATCTCCCGTAATGGAATGGCCAGGTTGTAGCCGCTCATAGTATACAACATCATTCACCATTCACTATCCTTGAAACGTCGAAACCATTCCCTGCATGATTTATCAGTTGGAGCACTGTCACCATAAACTTCTACAAGCATTCGATGCTCTTCAACTGCACTTTTCTTCCAATTAAAGCAGAAACATGAAACTTCCCGCAAATGCTGCATAGTTACCACAAAATTTGACATATTCAACAAAGTAAAAAACAGGGTCCTTGTCTGAAACTCAAAGCGATATAAACTGAATATTATTGACAGATGTCGAACCTCTCTGAAACCACCGAAACCAGCTGTCACTATGAAGCATTCATAACAGTCAGAGCCGTCGTTTGAAAACGGACCGAACTAATTTGTACTCCCAATATGTATATAGAATAAAGAAGCATCAACACTTTGAAATTGATCAATTTGAAATTTTTTTAGACTAGCTGTGATTACTTATAGCTAATTTGAAAAGATGGCACCTCTGTAATCGGAAAATGAATAAAAGCTCATATTATCCATTAGTTCAGATTTAAGCACCCTAGCTAGTCGGAAAGCAGACAGTCAGAGGAAAAAAATTTCTCAAGAAAATAATTAAGCTCATATTGCCACAAGTTTAGATTTCAGGACTACAGCTAGTCAGCAAGCTATGTTTGATGATTTTTCGTTTTCTCGATAGTTTCGCAGCTCTACTGTGACCTGCTCAACGGGTATAAAAAGAAGTTACAGAGCGTAATCATTTCGAATTAAATTGCCAAATTACTGCCCTGATCAACCTGAGTGAGTTCTGGCGTCGACTGCCAGCCGAAATCTACGCCTTTACCGAGCCGTATGTTGTGGACATCTACTGCATCCTGCAAATTTTCGGATCTCGCTCTCGTGCAAGTGCATTACATGCTGCGATTCGATAAAATTAAAAACTTAATAAAAAAAGTTCTGCTGCACATTCCCGAGTCATGGACCTAGAAAATCTGGAGGAGCTAAGGATATCATGGGTGAAAGGTATTGTCTATTAATGTTGGGATTTGCTGTACGAAGCAACTTCAGGGCAGATCGTTTAAGTGACACATAAAATTTTAATTTTTATTTACTCACTTGATATATAGGAATAGTTATTAAAAAAAAAAAAAACACGTGTCTTTCGCCATTTGCCTTATTGATTTGATATCGAAAGTGGCTTTGGCGAAACTGTCAAAATGGCAATAAAAAATGGGACAGGTCCTTGATGGGACATGCTGGACACCAACTTTAAAATATTAAACTGTGTTAATTCTTGACTTAAAGTTTTACTTTTCGAAAACTTTCAAAACTTTTCTTTTATGAAACTTTTCTTGGAGGAAATGTTTTTTCCCTCGACACGCTTCGAAGAAGCATCCGTTTGGAAATCGCTTTTTTAATGCATTATCATATTTTATTTAATGAGAATGTTTGATTACCTCGTCGATTATTGAGATTTAATTAGATTCAGTAGATTTCGTTCCTTTATACGAAAAAAATTATGAAAAACCGCTCTAATTGATGAAGTCATGAAAAGTCACAAAAGCCATAAAATTCACATCCCTAAGGATAAATTAAGCGCAATTTCTTAAGGGATTCCACCTCCGTGAAATCTATCAATTTAAACAACTTTTCACGTTAGTTTCCATAAAAGAAGTAAAACTTAACATCAGGAGTCCGAAGCATTTAACTTTCCAAAGTTGATGTCCAGCTTGTTAATAAAAAATGGCCAAAAAAAAGGGGGAATCTCATTTCTTGTAAAAGATATTTTGACAGTTTTTTCAAAGACATTTCCTATATCAAATGAACAAAGAAAATGGGACAACACACTGGTGTTTTTGAAGAACCACTCTTCCATATCGAATGAGTAGATAAAGTTTAAAATTTTATGCGCCACTTTCACAATAATTCGCATGCTGGAACTGTCTATTAAGTTTATTAATTTTTATCAAATCGCAGCATATACGTGATCTAAAAGTTTTGAAATGTTCAACCGGTATCGAGTGGAAAACATTTTTTCCGAAAATCCTTGTTGGATGTCGTGGACATGTCCATAACCACATCCATATTTGATATTTTTCTTTCTTTTTTTTATAACTGAAGCTGTTACAACAGCCAGAATTGTAACGGCAAATGCTGTTGTTTCATCACTTATTTTATAATTAATCGATAGTTACAAGAATATATATATTAATGAACAGTATAACCAATGACAATAAATGAACTGTATAACCACTATATGTTAATATTAATACCAATATAGATAACAGGGCTCGAAAAAACTTAAAAATTTTACCCGTCCCCTAGGACGGCTTGTCCAACAATGTACCCGTCCTCCTTTGAAACCAACCCGTAGCTTCTAAATAAATAACGTTAAGACACGGTTCCCAGCAGATCACCGAAGTCAAGCATCGCTGGCTGCGGTCAGTGTGCGAGTGGGTGACCACTTGGATCAGTCTGCGTAGGGACCGAGGGTGTGCGGTATTGGTCCTCGTTAAACTGTGCTACCGTAAAGTGCTCGAATTCGCGCGCAGGTCGTCGGGCTACCGAAGCTGGGGTGCCATCCCTTCCGCAGAGGATCAAAATTATGATGGCATGTCTTCGGATCATCCTCCGGGATGTTTCTCAGACCGTCGCCAATAGCCCATTGTGCAGCTCTAGTGCGACGTAAATTAACAACAACAACAACAATAAATAAATAAAAATATAATTTTCTCTTATCTATTGCAAACATTTATATAAATTGCACAATGAATTAGTAGTTACTAGGTTTACATTATGCAGTAATAAAAGAAATATTAGGTTACTAATAGTAACCTAGTATTTCTTTTATGAAATAATTTATTTTCTTAATGAAATAATTTAAGTGACAAAGGTGAAGTTATATGGAATGTCAATTTATCCCAGGGTACTGCGTTACTTAAATGAATCAAATATGACGTCTGCCAGTTCCACAATCAAGACAATGATTTACAGAGGTTTCTGCACAGAAATTTAAAGGGGTTTTACATTTAGGTGGAGGTTCATAATTGCTTTTAACGCTTCTTGTTTAAGATCGTACGTAATGTGCTTTTTTGTAAGTTCATTGCTGAAAAGCCTCTTTCAACCACTGCAGTACTCCCAGACAGAGAAAACATCAATTCCACCATGCGCAGTATGTTGCTGTATTGTGGGTCATTTTGCTGCATTAGAGGTCTTTATAAATAGCTTGGGCTCGGAGAGCTGAAGTTTTCTGGTGTTTAACGATGTTATGTATCCTAAATTTTAATGACACCCATTAAAATTTTAGATGTATTCCAACAAAAATTTAAAATATGTCGCTAACATTAACGGGAAAATGGTCGTCCGCGCGGACGTCGGATTCAAGAAATTCATTGTCCGCGGGGAATTTTTGATCGGCGAGGACGGGCAGACGGTCGATTTTTTGAGCCTTGATAGATAATATCAATAGCTTCAAAAGCTTTTCGTGATTATCTGTTTAAAAAAAAAAAAAAAAAAAAAAAAAAAAACAAAAAAAAANTAAAAAAAAAAAAAAAAAAAAAAAGAAACGAAACGTGAGCAAAGTGCATGTGCAGGCTTTTTTATCCGACCAAACAGTGGCATTTAAGAACTTGGATAGTGTTAACGAATCCTCCTATTTCTTGGACAGAGAAATTCCTCCATGCACTCGGTTTCAAGAACTTGGACCTTTAGCGCGCGTGTACTCAGCAAAATCTGTTTACAATATTTATAGAGACTTTTTATAAATCTTTGATATTTTACAAATCTCTGGGAAACATCCCAGACGATCATCCGGAGGCAACATACAAATTTCGCAATCCGTTTTACAAGGATGACACATTCACACAACATTTATCCATCATAAGATCGTAATTTTTGACCTGAACCAGAGCACGATCAGTCTTTGATCCAGTAACTCTATGATTTGTTATGAGGACTTGGAAGACTTCGTAACCCAGACAGATTTAGCATGCACCAGCAACCATTTCTGCGGATATCGAACTAACAACCTGTCTGACAAGCTCCCTACTAGGCTGGCTATTCCGGTCCCACAGCATAAATAAAGCTTGCAAAAATATGTCCTACCAATTAGGTTCTCGTTTGATTGTAATTTGCGAAAATATTGCATCTAATGTGAATGCTCCTCTACCACAAATTTATTACTGCCGCAGTCAGAATGTTACTTTGTAGTTTTGAATTCTACTTTTTAAATAGCTAAGATTGGCAACACTGCATTAGAATGTGGCAGCGGCTGGAAAAAACAAAACAAAAAATGTAAACTGGAGGGAGAGCAAAAACTTGAATTATTTTTTTTCTCCTTTAATTTTTTTGTAGTGTATCTTTGCTTTTAATGTATTCTTTATCCCCTGTAAACTTCCCCTTTAGTCGCTATAGTTTCTTATGGTATAATTAGCTTACAAATTCAAATACAATAATGGTCCTTGTAAGTATGTCTAAAAATACTAGGTCTCCAGTTATTAATTGAGGAATGCATGACCTTTACGTGTCACTCTATATAATTCCTAATTGTTTTAAATAAATGAAAGAATGAATTGTTTTTGTGATACTTTTTACAGTTTTATGATAAAAATGTATGTAATTTAAAATGTTGCTAAATTTTAATATGTCATTTTTCAAGGAATAAATCTTTCCCGTTCTCTTTTTCCTATCTCAACTATTTTCCAAATATATCATGAGAACAATTCATTTTCTTATAAATTACTGCTAAGGCCTTTTAGCTAAAGTTTAAGTAACTTTCTATGCGTTACAGTTGATATATTTTAAATAATTGTTAACGGCATTTAAAAAATTATAACGGTATTTTATCGCGTATTTCAGTGTTCCAAATACCTTCAACTGTTTTACAAAAATTTCTATGAACTTTTGCTAGCATGTGTTTACTATTTTTACAAAATTTAATGGTTGTAAAATAATTTTCTGTATTTTTAAATTAAATTTAATAAATAACTTAATGTAGGATGCTATTATTGATATGTTGCAACGGTAAACATATTAATAATTAGATTTATTTACTTAAATTTAAATTGGGAATCTTAAATTAACTGAAAAAGAAATATCATCTTAGTTTTAGTTAAAGTTTGTTTTCAATATTTAATTGTAGAATGTTATTTAAAATTGCAATAGTTCAGATTTGAAATATCATTGTGTATTTATTATCTAAGTCTAATTAGTGTTTTCGTTATCTAATTGATTTTATAATGGATGTAAATGTTTAATTGGACAGTATAAAGTTTAGTTGAAAAATGTAAATGTTAACTTCTTAAAAGAACTTTCATTAAAGTTGCATTAGTATGTATTATGTAGTACATATATATATATATTTTAACATATAGCATGTGGAATTGGTAGAATATGATTGTACATAAACTAGGGTGACCTGGGGTAGTTCCTGATCGAAAAATGCAAACATCTATTTTGTGAAAAAACTGTTCAAGATAGAATTTTAATATTTACTGGAAATTTGAGGCTATATAGGATGAGTCCTATGCTACCTTCTTTTGTTTGAAAATCTAATTAGAATTTAAAAGATTTTAAATTTTTAGTGATCAGGAATTACCCCTTCTCTTGATCTTTTCTGGGGTAATTCCTGATCATTTCTGGGGTAATTACTGATCACCAGTTTTTATAGTAAATGGGCTGTTTAAAAATAATTATACAATGGTAATTAACAAATAAGACATTAAGATCAAACAAATAAACCAAAAAGATATTTTTAAGCAGCTATTAAAACGTTTTATTTAAAAGCCGGAATAAAGATTAACACTTCAGCTCTGGCAGCAGCTCTCACACTGAAATGTTCATTTTCAATCTTTAAAAAAAAATTTGCTATTATTGCTTTCTAGAAGCTTAGTATTCTTTTAAGGCTTATAATTTTTCACCATATTTATATTAGGTCAATTTATCAACTTAAAAATTATTCTAACAATCTACACACATAAAAATGAGATAGAAGAAAGGTAAGACAGGCTAGAAATGGTGCATATCAGAACACATTTGTCTTGTATACAGTTAAAAACAAATTTTGTGATTATAGTTAAAATATATTTTATAGTTGTTCCACTTAATAAATATGAACTGTTATATAAGAAAAGACAATTGGCTATTTTTTATACTATAAGAAGAAATGAAAATGATCAGGAATTACCCCAGTGATCAATAATTACCCCATCTGTAGGAGGCAACATTTGATATAGTTTCCTATATTCAATTATAATGTTTACAGTAGATGGGAAACAATTTAAACAAAAGCTTAAACTATTTTTATATCAAAGAAAAAGAAAGTAACTCAAAATATTTATTATTAAGAGAAGATCTTTGCAGAAATGTGCACAATTTGAAATCCATCTTTGAAATGGAAAATGCAGAAAGCATTTTAAAAGATACTTATTTTGTTAAATTAAACAAAACACTATTATTAAGTAAATGTAGTTATACTTTAGTAAAGTGTACAAGCTTTCTTGTCCATGTCTCAAATTTAAAAAAAATAATTTTGTAAAAAATAAAACTTAGGTGATCATTATTTACCCCAGAAACAGAGTGATCGTGAATTACCCCGGGTCACCCTAATTGAAAAATGCTTGATAGTTACTTATGAGTTTATAAAACAAATGGTAATGAAAATTAATTTATATGTCATTTTTCTACTGTTATTTATTAAACTGAAAAACTAAATTATCAAGGTTTTTCTTTATTTCTTTTTGTTGTAATATTTAAATCAGGGTTGGCAAGATTTTGCCGCAGGTGGAAAAAACCATGGTAAATACCGGTAAAAACCGTCCTGGCAAAAACAGGTTTTTGCCAAGCAAATTGGCAAAAAGTGGCAAAAACCTATATTTTCCAAGATGAGAGGACAAAAACACATTTNTTAATCTCAACAGTAGGCCCACACTAGGTGATCATTATTTACCCCAGAAACAGAGTGATCGTGAATTACCCCGGGTCACCCTAATTGAAATATGCTTGATAGTTACTTATGAGTTTATAAAACAAATGGTAATGAAAATTAATTTATTGGTCATTTTTCTACTGTTATTTATTAAACTGAAAAACTAAAATATCAAGGTTTTTCTTTATTTCTTTTTGTTGTAATATTTAAATACAACAAAGGTTTACTGCTTCTAATTTTCTATGCGATCACATAATTCAACTTGAACGTATCAAAAACTAGAAAATATTCTTTCTATTAGAGTTGACATAAGAGAAGCAATGAATAATTGAATGCCTTGTTTTTTATCTGATATTGCTATACTATAGCCATAAATTATAGATTCAATATTCTTAACCTTATCTTTAAACACATATATTTTATTAGAGGTAAAAGTTGTAAAAAATAGATACCTATCTATAATAGAAATTTTAAAATGAAATTGACTTTTTTTGTCGAATCCTTTGAAATACTCATTTGTGGGCAATATTTTTCCATTCTTTTCTGCAAAATCAAACTATAGCAATTTCTTTTACCTCTGACCTTGTATCTATAGTTACAAAATTAAATTTTTAAAATAATCATTTGATAATTTCTAAGAACAAATTAGCTTGTTAATTGCCAAGTAAATTTTAGGAAATGTAATATTAACTGGTAATATGTGAAAAAATGCAGTCAATGGCTTTTTTCAAGTGGCCCCAATTTAAAAAAATCGGCAGGATATTTTTTGTACTTTACCTAATATTGCGAACCTTGGTTTCTCCTGTATATTTTGTTTGCATTTCTAAAAATAAAAATTGCATTTATGTTTGTTTTCCTTAGTTACCTGAAGAAGCAGCTATGACATTAGCCGAATTGAGGCAGATGGCCGCTAGGCAACAGCATCAAATAGAAGCCCAGCAGCAGCTTTTAGTTGCCAAGGAACAACGGCTTAAGTTTCTTAAGCAACAAGAAGCTCGGCACCACAATCTTGCTGAACAGCATCAACTCGATCCTTCTTGCTTGCAGAATTTACGTGATAAAGTTGAATCTCAAGAAATGAAATTAAGGCAGCTGAGAGCATTGCGTGGTCAAGTTGAGCAGCAAAAGACTAATAATGGTAACTTAGGTATGGTAGAATCATAATTTTTAAATTTTTGTAAAATACTCATATTTTTTTTATAGTTAATTTCCCATTTGATTTCTAACTGCTTAATAAATCATAAGTTATGTATTAACATATGGCAAATATATATGGTGGAGGGTTGCCACAAGCGACTATTTGAAACTATTTACGACCTGAGGCGACTAGGGCAATTTTTTTTGCCAGAAAAGGTTAAAAAGCAACTATTTTCAGGAAAAGGAGACTATTGGGAGACTTTTCTGTGCTCCTAGCAATGTTTTTTTTAGCATAAATTGGGTTGCCAACCTGCGACCCGGGTTAGCTTCTGTACACAATGAGTTTTTTTTCTGCACTAATGTTTATATGAAACACTAATGTTTGTATAAAAATTATCATATTTGCTACGAACTTGACTAAATGTATTGTGATATATGATAATTAAATCATTTAACAAAATTTTAATCATATTTTTTTCTTATTTAGACAACTATTTTCATGCTTTAGGCTACTAAAAACAACTATATTGTTCATTTTTTTCTTTGTGAGTCCTGATGGTGTTATTTCTTAGTTACACACAAAGTTGGAGCAACTTTAGGCAAAAAAGAAAAAAAAAGAATCCTTTCCTACACACATACATAGATAAATAATAAACACTTACAAATAACTAGCATTGACATGTAAAATGTTAATGGTCTATAATTTGTTCACAGAAAAAAATATTTTTAATTTTATTGACCTGAAAACAAAATCATAGAACCATTTTTAAACAGAAGTTAATAAATCTCAGAAAGTTTTGCTGACTTCAGATAAAATAAAATGTATCAATAAATTAAGTCTAGAAATTTTAATTTGCTTATTGTTATTATCTGACTGATTTGAAGTATTTTCTAATTATAAGCTGATGTACTGTATTTTCTAATTATATGCTGATTTTTATTTCATATGAAACTGTACAAAGTCAAAATTAAAGATTGCGAATTTAGTTCAAAGTGTTGAAAAACATAAGTTATAAGCTGATATGAGAGAGTTAATTAGAAAATTGCTTTCCCTTGTGAACAAGAAACTTAAACCTATCTCTCTCATTTAGTATGAGAGGATGTTCAAGCAAAGCTAACCACTGTATTGTTAATTTGATCTTGCCTTACCTTTGCTGCATATTTTTTAAAAAAAGGAGCATAATAATGGAGAAAATTGTTTATGCTAGTGTACTCCATTATGTTAAGTCTTGCAGTGGACTGATCGTAAAGACACCCAGTAGAACATTAAAGTCAAGCATCATTGGCTGCGGTCAGTAAGCGAGTGAGTGACCACTTTGATCAGCCTGCTTAGGACTGAGGGTGTGCGGTATCAGTTCTCGTTAAACTGTTCTACCGTAAAGTGCTCGACTTCGAGCATGTCGTCGGAGTACCAAGGCAGGGGAGATATCCTCTGCGCACAGGATCAAAATTGCAATGGCATGTCTTCGGATCACCCTTGGGCATGTTTCCTAGGCCGTCGCCAATAGTCTATTTTGAAGCTCTAGTGCGACGTAAATAAAGTGCTTACCACTAGATAAAAAATATTTTTTAACATTTTTTTTTAATGTTTATAATTTAAAGTATTTGAATCATAAACTTGAATTTTTCCGACCTTTTGATCTGTATCTCATAGTAGACTCCCTTTCATTTAAAAGAATGTTTGGCCCTGATTATTCAGTAACATTTACAATTGGTCAAGTTCTGTAGCAAAAAGTCCATGGAGTATAGAGATTCAGTAAAACTTTTTAACTTATAATTCACATAATATTTTAAAAACAACTGCGAAAATGAGACTTCTTGATCAAAAACTGGTAAATGTTAACTGGTAGAAGATTAGCTTGGAAAAAACTTTAAAGATGGCAAACTCCCCCTCCCCCCTGAGCTGTTGAGTTATTGTGAATGAAGTATATAGTATTTTAAAATCTATTTTAATATTTTCGTTGTTACTTTATTTTACCATTGCTTATATAACTTAGTCAATAGTTGTATGATAAACTTAAAATAACAAACATTATTTGAAATTTAGTTGTTGTCATTAACCTCCAGAAGTTAATTTTGTTAGAATGTAGTTATTTATAATAATTTTATTATAAATTTTTCTAACTTTTATTTTAGATATTAATTTATGAAAAGAGTTCATCATAATAATATTTTGTAGGTGCTGAACTTGACTCTATCAGGGCTTTGTTTAGTGAAAAAGAGAAGGAATTAAATCTCGCTGTCAACAAAGTAGAAGAACTTTCGAGACAGTTGGATGAAATCCGTAATAACAATAATCGAAAAAATTGCGTCATGTCTTCTGCTGTATCTGAATTAGAAAATTTAAGGAGAGAATTAATGGTGAGTGTGAATAGTTTTTGAAGTGTTTTTGGATGCATAAATTCATTTACTAATGCATAAATTCATTTACTAATGTGATTTAAATAGTTTAACTTTAAATTGTTTAATTTGTAAAATGTAATCTGTTTTAATCAAGGATAGAAAGCTTATTCAATGATCTATTTGCATATCTATATTCGATTTTTTTTTCTATAAAAAACTGTACTTAAATGCCTAATGCATAAAATATGTAATATTCACAATTATAATGAAATAGAATTGTTTCTTGTGAAATAAAATTCAGTTTCTTTGAACACACTGAGTAATTTATTTGTTACGAAAAAAGCTTTTAACCAACTGGTTTAATACATGTATTTTTAGCAGAATTGCCCTGGATTTTTTGTGTTTGTAATTTGGCTTCATGTTTTTTAGTATTTGCTATCTCATGTTGGTATTGTTTACTTTTAAATTTTACCTTTCCCTACCATTGTTCCAAAATTATTTTTCATGCATTCTGTGGGATAGCTATATTTTTTGGGGCCATATTCAAAAAGCAAAAATTATTTTATGTAAGGATTAAATAGACTTTTTTTCAGCATAACTCTTACACTAGATATTAAACGATACATGTGATTTGCAGAGATATGTTTATTTGCATTTTATAATCTTCATTGTGACATTTTAATTTGTCTGTCATTTTTACATATGTTAGTTTTTATCTATCAAATATATTTTATGCATTTCTGAGTTGATATTAGAATACATTTCTAAAAATTTTTTAAGATAAATGAATTTATCAGATGATTGTTTATTTTATAAAGTATTTCGGCAATAGCTAACATTTTAGTAAAGCTTCTAATGAAAAACTTTTCATGCTATAAACATTTAAAAAATTTGAATTTGTTGGTTATCAAAAATCAACATGAAATTAAATAGAGGAAGGAAAAATGTACCTCCAAAAATAAATCTATTAAAATCACTACCATATGTTTGTATATAGAATGAGTAAACCTTTTAAATAAATATTATTATAATTTTTTTTTTAGTAATTAAGAAGCCATAGGTAAGCCAATTTTGTTAACATTGCAAAAACTTCAATCAAAATGATTAGATTATTTTGTGATCGCTGCTCTGTTATCTTTTCTAGTAAAATTAACCTTTTTGAGTCTGCTTAATGTGGTTTTAAAAACATTATATATTTTAATAGTTATATACTAATTACATAGACATTATATGTTATGATAGTTACTTATTATGTAATAATAGTTATGAGGAAATTTTTTTTCTTCAGAATTTCAGGTGAATTTTACGTAAGTGTTAATTGTTTATTACTGTATTTCACGTAAAGAGAAGTCAATGCTTCCTCTCCAACATATATGTTAAAAATGAAGAAAGGAAAATATTAAAAGAAAACAGAAACTAAAAGTCATGTTACATTTAATTGATCTGGTGTGTTTTTATATACTTTTATACTTGTAGTAGTGGTCAGCATTCTTTTAAATCTAATTTATTTAACCAGAAATAAAATGTTAATGCATAACCTTTGTTAATACCATAAAAATTGTTTTCGCAACATTCTCTTAAATTAAATTTATTATATCTTAAACAAAAAATTAATGCATATTCATTTGTTAACTTCGTTAAAAAATCTTTTTGCATTGTTCTTTTAAACCAAATTTATTAAACCCTAAAAACTAAACTCAGCGATGCAACTGCCCTAGAGGGCCAAGGCCTACTGTGCCCATTTCAGTTTTCTTGACTTTGGGCTCTGGGGTGCAGAAGCAGATGTTCCGGTCAGGTGGACCGCGGAACCCCTAGTGTTTAGTTCCCAAGCATGCTTGGTACTCATTTATCGACCCACTGAAGGAATGAAAGGCTGATTATTAAACCCTAAATAAAGTATTAATGCATAAAGCTTTGTTAACAGTGGTAAAATTGCTAGTACAACATTCTTAACAACATTCTTCTCAACGGTAACCCCTAGTGTTTAGTTCCCAAGCATGCTTGGTACTCATTTATCAACCCACTGAAGGAATGAAAGGCTGATTATTAAACCCTAAATAAAGTATTAATGCATAAAGCTTTGTTAACAGTGGTAAAATTGCTAGTACAACATTCTTTTGATTAGAATTTATTGACACATGAATAAAATATCAGTGTATAAAGCTTTGTCAATAGTAGTAAGAATGATTAGTAGATTTTACGAAAACGGAATAGCTGGGGGAGGATGGGCTTTTTAAGATTAAATTTTATAAATTAAATTTAAAAATTTTTATTAATTTTTTCTCAATAATATGCTATTTAATTTTTACAGTATTGAACCAAATTATCTGAGCAACAAAGCAATTACATATGCCAACAACGGCATATAATGTTGATGCATAACTGAATAGAATGTTTTTGCATAGTCTTTGGTAATACCATAAGAATTGTTTTTACAACATTTTTTAATTTAAATTTATTATATCTTAAACAAAAAATCATCAATATCAGTGCATAAAGCTTTGCCAATAGTAGTAAAAAGGATTTGTAGTTTCAGATAGCTGATAGCTGCTGAGGTCTTTTAAGATTAAATTTTATAAATTAAATATGAAAAATTATTAACATAATTTTTTTTCTCAATGTGCAATTTAATTTTTACAATATTGTACAAAATTATCTGAGCAACAAAGTAATTACATATGCCAACAACGGGAGACCGTTACCAGAATAGCTGGATATATTCTGGTTATGATATTTGGCTAATATAGGTACCTGGTATTCCGGTAATATAGAGACCATTAGCAGAATAGAAAATCGAATAGCTGGGGTGTGTTTTAAGATAAAATTTTATTAATTAAGTTTAAAAAGTTATTTGCATTAATTTTTTTTAATTATATGTTATTTAATTTTTCCAGTATCGGACCAAATTATCTGAGCAACAAAGTAACTACATATGCCAACAACGGGAGACCATCACCAATCGCCAACAAGACATTTCTCTTCTCGATAAAAAAATCAACGAACTCACCCAGCGTTTACACCGAAAGCGCCTTCTAAACGAGCAACTTGCTTCCCAAATTCACAGTGCTTCCTTGTCGCGTAACCTCAGTGGATCTGCGGTCAGTAATGGCCTTTATCATGCCTCGACCATTGTAGCCGTAGAACCTATACCCAGAGACGCTGATCCAGAACATACTCGAGATGACATGTCTGCTAAATTGAGTGGCACACATCAAAATGACCTCGGAGGATTTTATTTGACCAAAAAGGACCCAAAATATCAGACTCTTCCTTACAATACCAAGTTTACTCTAAAAGGCAAATGTGAAGAATCTCAGTCATCCAATGAAGACGACTCATCGCCTAACAGTTTGGACTATTCCCCGAATTCTAAAAAGACCCCACCTCTGTCTGTGGTAAAGCCATCCTCTTTATGCAACCCAATGCCCCAAATTAATAATTGTAAGCCACCTGATACCTACTCATCTTCTGATGAAGTTTCCAATCGAAACATCAAAAATAGTAATTTGTCGGTAAGTATATATTTTATTTGTTGCATTTAACTTGTTTTCAGATGGGCCACTCTTTAGCGAATTCGTGAAATTCCGTTTCATTTTTGGTCGGTTTTTTATAAAAGGGCATAATTAATAGTGGCAAAAATTTGATATCTAATATTGGGGGGCTATCGACACGTTGTACCAAAGTGATGGCAGTATTTTATCAATTCTACCTCATTCGCAGTTTCAGAATCTTTAGTATTCTTGAATAATATTAAAAAGAAGCAAAACTTAACAGTAGTCTTTAGATATGTATATCTGTGTAGGGTCATTTTAGGTGAAATTTAGCTCTGCCCGTCGTATGACTTTTCGAAAAATATTTTTTGTTAAAAGGAACTCTTTATAATATTTTGCATACATGACAAAGTTGATGATATTAATTCATAATTTAAAAAAAAAAACAATACTTTTATTCTTTCATCGCAACAGACGAGATAACTCATCTTCCAGGAATACTTGCTGTGCTCTATAGTTGAATTAATGAATGTGGTTATTAATTACAATTGATTATTTTAGTAAGTAATTATTTTAGTGAGTAAAATCAACACATTTTTAAAGGAATTTGTATTTATTACAATTTTAGTTCAGCTGGGGAACTCTAAGCAAAGAGGGTGGGACAATGGCGCGTCATTGCTGCAATGAAAGTGTTAAATACAAATTTTTTTCTTCACAAAACCAGGCTCTTATTTTCCCACATATACAAAACAAGACCCTTGAATGTAGAATTTAATTCTATGGTGTTTTAACATTCTGAAAATCATGAGTTGATTAAAAGAGTGAACAGAGGTCTGATTTTTCTCCGTCACCAAAATGAGATCCTATTTTAAATACTTAACAAATTTACCTTTTAAGTTTTTGCTTCTTATGTTTTTGGTTTTTATGTTTTTAGTTTCCAGAATTTTTCAGGATCTTTTAAAAGAAATTTAAAATAATTCATGGAAAAAATTTACATGTTTATATGTTTAATTAAAATCATGTTTAATTAAAACATGTTTATATCAGGGATGAGATTTTTCCAATTTTTAGCGGATTTCCGCTTTTTTCACTTTTATCTCTTAAATTTCAGCTTTTTTATCAAAAATTCAGATGTTCTAAAAATTTCATTTTTTTAAGTATTCCGCTTTTTCAGAAAATTCACTGATTTACAAAGAGAAACAGAAAATTCAAGCTACATNCAGTGCAGATTAAAAATTTTTGCTTCCTATGCTTTTGGTTTTTATGTTACAGTATTAAAAATATTTTCTTCCCCTTATATGAATATGCGCTCAATAATTTTCCGTTTTGATGTTTTAGGAAATTCCGAAAACTGAATCCGTGAAAGAATCTGAACTGAATGAAAACAGTGACTCTAAAAATAATAATGTGTGCAGTAGCCAGTCTTCTCTACCCATCAAAGAAAAATCCCAGTCCACTAACTCCCGTCCTGTAAAACCTGTTGTACCCCCTAAGCCTGCTTTACCTGTGAAACCAATGATCTCTATTCGTCCAAAAATAAATGCCTTTAATGGTAAAAGCTCTAGTGAGAAAGATGTGAATGTAGCCTTATCTGTTTTACAAAATAAGTCATCAGACAAAGACAAGACTGCTATTAGGTAATCTGTTTATTATTATTTTATTTTTTTTGCTCTCTGTATTTGAACTAATTTATTGTTTACTTTCAGATTATTTTTTCTTAGTTTCGCATTATTATTGATTATCATTGTATATAGAATTCTAGAGAAAGCATAGAGAATACTAAATAGGAAATTTGCCACACAATGAAATAACTGAATTAGAACAAATATTACAAATATATATATGTATAACACAAAATAGTATTGCAGGCATGCTTGCCCATTCTTAATTTGCAGGAAGATTTCCCAGTTTTTTGTTTTGTCTGAAAATGAATTATCTCCGCTTTTCATTTTATAATCGATTTCGTCTCATTTTTCATTTATATGCAAAAATTATTTTAGGCTGCTTATTATTGGTTCACAATGAAAAAAAAAAAAAACAGTAAAGAAATTATTTCCACCATCATGTGATTATCAAATATCAGAAGCAAATTTGTTATGATGCATTATCACAGAACCTAGAATTAGAGTTTTTCTGCCCCCCTTCTCTTAAAAAAAGGCACTGATATAATATTTGTTTTCTATATTTTTACATATTGTTATATTCTCATTGTCCTGAACCCTTAAACTGTTTTACTACATCTGGATATGTATTAATGCCATAAAATTGTCTCTGCTACAGGGAAGTTATGAACATTGTCAACAATCTTATCACACATCATAAAATTACTCTGCTGATGTATATTGTGATTAATCTCACATTAAGGTTTAATAACAATGAAAGCCAATTCTTTTATATGTGCTTTAGTGCTAGTAAATTTTATAATTTTTTTTATTATTTTTATTTCAGAATTAGGAGATATATATACCTCTTTGTTGATGTATTTTTGAGATTTAAAGTCTAGAGCTATTAAGCAACTATTCACCTATTTTAAAATTGGGACTAGGGATGTATTGTATTTTTTGGTCTGTAAGTTTACTCTTTATAAAACCTAGAACTGTTTGGGAGAAAATAGTCAGGGAATTTTTTGGCAGGGGAAAAGCTTGAAACAAACCTTGAAAGTAACCAATTTTTAAATGCTCGATAGCAACAAATAGTCAGTGAGGTTCAAAGTAAATAATATATCATTATTTTAAGATGAAATTATTTTTGATATTATTATATAAAATAACAGATGTAAATTTGACTATTTTTATTATTTTTTGTTAAAATTAATCTTTTTATTTAAATTATTTCTTAACTGCAAGTAAGATCTATGATGACTGATTACTTTGTGAATCTATTAAACTATGTTACATCAAGTTTGTGCAAAATTTCAATTTTATCAGTAAATCATATACTTGCGTATTCTATATTCCACATGACCTATTGAAATTTTATTATTTACAAATTTTAATATTTGACAAAATAAATTTAATTGCTTATCAAATAAAAGAAAAATATATATATTTCTGATGAATTATTGTTGTCTATTAAAAAAAATGTTGGAAATTATGTTTCTAAAATTGAATGGGAGCCTGAAATTAGCCCCTGAAAAAGGTTGGGGATAAAAGTTTGAGCTAAAAATTTTTTTTTGAATCATTTATGAAATTTTTTTTTTTGTATTTTATATTATGGACAGAAGAATTTCATATTTGGATAAAAATTCGTTTTTAACAAGTGCGAATTCAGAGTCAAATTTATACTCTGATTACACAGAATAACCACCATTTTGAATTTAAAAATATGGAGTCATCTAATCACAAGAGAGAAAAAAATACGGCGTTGTGTTTCATCCAGTTATTATACTGTTTAGATTTTGTTAGAAAGATAAAATGTTTACATATGTAACTTTTTCATTCTCAGCAACTACAGAGAACGTTTGCTGTATTATCAGTGCATCCCTAGGTAAAAGCTTGTATTTTACTTCCATTATTGGCTTTGAGAAGCATGAAGCTTTTATATTGTCCTTTTTAATATAAACGATTCTGTGTTTACATTAACATTTACTACCTTAGCTTTAATGTTTAATGCATTATTCATTGTGTATGCCATTGTTTTAATCTTTAACTGCAGTAGTGATTAGATTTGAATTTTGTGTGAAGTTTGACTAACTATTGTAAGCAGGGTCATCTTAATACCAAGCTGGGTCCCTGGGCACAGAAATGTTTTGGGCCCCTGTAACATAAACACATTTTTTTTACCCCCTCAAAACTCAATGAACATAAAATAGATCATTTTTAAAAAATGCATAATTTTTAATAAAATTAAAATAAAATTGAGATACTAACCAGTTGCAATCCTAAATAATAAAATAATTTTCATAACCAAGAAACTAATTAAAATAATTAAATAAAAAAATACAAGGATATAGCAAAAAAATTCAAAAGGTATGAATTATTTCCTCAAACTATAAGAGCCTGTTATTAAAACATATTTCAATGCACATCAGACATAACCAGTTTAGAAGTTGCTGTCCCATATTGCTGAGTAATTCTAAAATCTTTCAGTTATTACTTAATTTAACTATTTACAAATACTAAACAGAGTTGGTGGTGATCAAGCATGTTTAGAGACATTATGACTTAGAGAGTTGAGTACCTAAAAATTTTATTTCAATGTGGAAAAATAGATTTTGGTTGACTTTTTAAGTTTTCCAGGTGATAAACTATTCAAGTCAGGGCTCGAAAAACCGCCCGTCCTCGGCGGTCAAAAATTCCCAGGGGACAACGAATTTCTCGAATCCGACGTCCACTCGGACGGCCATTTTCCCGTTAATTTTCGTGATACATTTTCAATTCTTATTATTAGAATTGATGTTTTCTCTGTCTGGGAGTACTGCAGTGGTTGAAAGAGGCTTTTCAGCAATGAACTTACAAAAAAGAAAAAAAAAGACACATTACTTACTGGTCTTAAACAAGAAGCGTTAAACGTGATTATGAACATCTACCTAAATGGAAAACCCCTTTCAGATTTCTGTGCTGAAACCTCTGTAAATCATTGGCTTGATTGTAAAACTGGCAAACGTCATATGTGATTCATTTAAAAAACGCAGTTACCTGGGATAAATTGACATTCCAGATAACTTGACCTTTGTCATTTAAATTATTTCATAAAAGAAATACTAGGTTATTATTATTAACTTAGTATTTCGTTCATTACTGTATAATGTAATCCAAGTAACTACTAATTCATTGTGCAATTTATATAAATGTTTGTAATAAATAAGAGAAAATTATAATAAATGTTTGTAATAAATAAGAGAAAATTATAATAAATGTTTGTAATAAATAAATGAAAATTATATTTTTATTTATTTAGAAGCTACGGGTTAGTTTCAAAGGAGGACGGGTACATTGTTGGGCGTGCCGTCCTCGGGGACGGGTAAAATTTCTGAGTTTTTTCGAGCCCTGATTCAAGCCATTGGTGTTTGCATGATAATCAATCACTATTTGTAGGGGAAAAAATGCACACTTTTTACACGAGAATATATTTATTTTAAAAAATAAATATATAAATTTTTTAATACAATTTATAAAAAATAAGATTCTATACTATTCTTAAGATTTTGATTCCTTTATAAAAAGTAAGATTCTAAAGGCCTATAACTCAGTTAAAAAAAATTAAGGTGGTTATAATAGTTTTTGATAAAAAGAATCTTGTACACTTACTCCAATTTTTAATTACTTTTATATGTTTAAAAAATATTTCAAAATTCAAAGCTGGGTGTTACAAACATTAGGTCCATAACAGACAGTTTTAAATTTTTAAAAAAGAATTTTAATTTCTAAAATTTAGGTTAGTGTAAATGACACAAAGATTTATTTTCACAAAAATTATTTGAACTGCTCAAATTTTATTTAACTGAGTTATAATTTTTTTAAATTCTTCTAATACAACATTAGTAAACGATAGAATTGCCAATTCTTAATTTTGTGAGAAAATTTATTGAACTTTTTGAATGCACCTTGTGAACTGTGTTCAGTTCTAATCAGAGTTGGCGAACTATGGAATCAATTTTTTTTTATAAACTTCTCCCATAATTCAATACAGCTTTGAACGTTGTTAATATATTTGTGAAGATTCAAAACTTCTACTTTAGCTATAGATTTCTCAAAGTATGGATCATGTTCAAATATTATACAGTTGAAAAAAAAATTTAAAAGGACTTTTAAGAATATTTTATCAGATCTAAAAATTCTGAAGGATATGTTTTACTATTGCTTTTGTGATATATTAACTATATTTTTAGTTTATTAAACGTTTTAAAAATTTTGTTTGATAATTCCTTTTTGATGGAATCCTGTTCAGGAACACTTAAAATAAGATCTTAGTGGAAGATTAATATGTTATTTAGAGTTTTGAGTTCTTTAATGATGTGTAATAATTTTTTTTCTGCAACTTTACTTACAGTTATAGGTATATAATTCTATAGATATTTTATATTGTATTTTTTTATCTACAGCCGTAGCCTACAGTTGCAGGTACATAGTTCTTTAGCTTTAGGTATATACATTCTTTACCTTAAGCCATAGGTNGATTATCCGGAACGATCGGGACCATCGCTATTCCGGATAACTGATTTTTCCGGTTTTCTCAATCGCTACAAAAATCGCTAAAAAATCGTTTTTTTTATTGTTAAACCCAACTAAAAAAAAATTTGGAAATAATCTTAAAACGAAGAAAAAACGAAGTAATACACTAATGATTATTTCCAAAATGATGGTAAGGTAAACATCTTTCAAAATAGAAAGAAAAATCCTAAAATCTTATGAGGAAAATTTTTTTTTGAAAATGGCGGGAAAATGTATCGAATTTCCTTCCGGTTTTTTGGTTTTCCGGTTTTCTGATTTCCGGATAACGGGTTCTGTACTGTACATAGTTCTTTAGCTTTAGGTATATACATTCTTTACCTTAAGCCATAGGTATAGAAAAGTTATTCATTCACTCAAGTCTTAATGTAACATAGTTTCTGCCATTTTTTTTTAAACAAAAAAATAAAAAAAAAATAAAAAATTGATAGAAAGGGAAAAAAATATACAGTTATAAATATAATAGTTTTTTTGTTTAAGAAAATATGTTATAAAATTGGATGTAATTTACTGTCTTGCTGTAAAATGAATTCAATTTGCATGAATTATGTTACTTAAAAACTATAACTTAGTTCTGCTTTAAAATACAAGAACACTTATTAAAAAATATTTTTACATTACATTTTTAAGATTACATACATTATTTCCTTTGTTAAAACATTGCCTGTACTCTAGATTTTAAATAAACATCTGCATTATTAAAACTAAATATTTTTTATACTTTTTGCATGGTTTGTTTGCATGTTTTGATTATTCAAGTGTTTTGCATTTATCCTATCTGTTATTTATAATGTACATAATCTATAATATTTTGCTTGTTCCAGATTTTCTAGTGCAACAGATAAGTTAGAACAGCCTCCTCCTAAAAGTAAAATAGCGACTTACTTTCCGAAACCTAGTGCACAATCCGATGCAAGTCCTCAAGCAGAAAATCGAAACGAAAGTGCAGACTCAAATGACCCTCCGAAACGCAAACCCAATTTCGGGCAGCTGCCGATTAAGCCGAAACCGCTGACAATCAGGAAAACTCCTGGACTGGAACCTCCCAAACTTAAAGTTCAGTCAGTAACTAGTACCAGCTCTTATCGCAAGAGTGGTACAGACTCTCAACACTTAGTGTCTCAGCTGCAAAGCTCTATTCCCCCAAGTCACTCTTCTACTGAAGCCAAATCCGAAAGTGAAGTCGTTAGTTCAGAGCCTAAAGCATCGGCAGAAAGCATTCCTATAGGTGAAGTTGCACCTATGCAGAAAATATCTGAAGAATCTAATAAAAACTCTGATGTGAAGCTGCTGCAGGAATCCCGTATTGCTGATTTATCTAAGAAAACAGAAACAGATGAAACTGATTTTCTTCAGCCAGAGACTGTTATTATAAAAGACGGTAATTTTTACTTAATTTTTAAATGTATTTTTTGTTCTATATCATTGTATTGCCATTTTGAAGTTCAACAATGCTGCTAGACTGAAGAAACTACTTAAGATCCTTAGGAGCCATATTTCTAAGTCCCTTTTTACTAAAAGCTGCCCCCTATTTAAAAATAAGAATTCTTTACTTCATTATTCATCGATTAATATTCACATTCATTATTATTCTATTTTATGAGTGCACAGCTTTGCTTTTTTGAGTGACGGTCTACTTGTACAGTAGGTTGACGAATGTTTTACAGAGCTCCCATGGGTCAAGGAAAACCTTTAATTGTCAGGGAATTTTATTTTAACTCTAAAAAGCAGGGAATAGTCAGGGAAAGTTGCAATTTTTTACAACAAACTTGGAAAATTCCTTTATTATTCTTGGAAAATAACCGGTCAAATGCCAGTAACTGTAATCAATTATTGATATTCGAGTTAAATAATACTAACACCTTTACAATTATTTTATGAAATTTCATTCTTTAGTGAAACTTTCCATGTTTTCATTCTATTATGTATTTGCTCGCAAAATTTTCTGATGAATGTAAATATGGTATGGATTTTCTTTGAAATATACCTGGAAAAGTCAGAAACTTTTTTTTCTGAAATTGAGTGGGTAGTTTTAGGTATAAAATTCTTTTTATAAGTCAATTTAGTTATATATTTGAATTAAAATAATCTTTATTAAAAAGTAGATTTATTGAAAAAAAAGATGAGGGAAAATTTTTTTTTTATCACGTAATACAAAGGTTTACATAAAAATAAATCAACTGTTATTTTCATGGAATAAAAGTAAAATAAAAAAATAAATATTTTACACAGTAAATGCAAATTAAATATTTTAATTAAAAAACTTTGATTGTCTAAAATGATTTAAAATAGAACGAACACATTATAGTTCAAAATAAGATTAAACATTTAGATGGGAACATAATTTTAAGTTTAGGCCATTTAAATGTAGTAAATTATGAGAGATTTTATGAATATTTATTAACAGTTTTTTAAGCTACAAAAAGTAAGAAACTTAAAAAATGAGTTTCTTCACTCACTTTCAAGTATTGTGAATAATATTTTATGGTTTCTTTCTAGTTTCTTCTTTTTTAAAAAACTTTCACTTTTTATCAATGTTTTTACTAATACATGGGCAATTAAGGGGATTTCTGTTAGACTTTATTCTTTTTCCTCACTTTTTCTTGAAATCATTGGTAAACTGAGACGTTCAGCTTTAAAGTTTTCTTTAGAGAATTAAGTATAATTTTGAATAATTATGATTAATTTTTGTATAATTTTAAGAATAATTTTGCATATAATATTTAGTTTTTATGGGCATTTTTATGATAGTGCAGCATTTTCATAAACGTTTTTGATAGACTATATGTTTTTCTAGAAAAAATATTTTTCCAAAAATTTTTCAGAAGTTTTTTTTTTGAACTTTACAACTTTAGTTATTTCTTGTTTGTAATATGGCTGTTAGTCAGTTTTTTATTAATCTTAAATATTTCTATAATATTAGGAATAAATATTATAGTTTTATTTCTCTATACCAATAATATAGCTAAATTTTTATTTTTTAATAAGGTCTAAACTTATTTATGTAAAGAAAAATATCTATTGCTGATTTTGTTACTACTATTCAGCCGCAAAAAATTCAGTGTTCAGCCAATTTTTTTGGCCAGAAATTCAGTATTTGACTTGGCCAAATCACTATTCATTACATCCCTATTGTTATAGTTTTTGTTTTAATGCAGCAGGCAGTACTTTTTTGATTTGGAACTATTATGAGTTGTTCAGTTTTGATAAAATTATATTGGAAGCTGTTAAAGATTTCTGTTTTAAATAAAATAATTCTGAAATTAAAAATAGTATATTTTATTAATCTCTTGTTATTAAATTTGTTTTTTGTTACACTTAGGTAGAGCTAATTAATATTTTTACGTGGTTTGCCATTAACTTTTTTAAAATCATTGTTTGTTTTTTTTTGTTGTTATTATTCAGGAAGCTTTAATTTTGAAATAAATTAATTTTTAGGAGCATTTTTCTCCTTGCATTAATCATTGTTTTTTTTTGTTGTTATTATTCAGGAAGCTTTAATTTTGATATAAATTAATTTTTAGGAACTGATGAGCATTTTTCTCCTTGCATTTTAACTTTTTGAAAAACAAAGTTGTTTTTGTGAATTTTTTTTGTAACCTGAAACCGCTGTGAGGATCCATGCAATTATATCTCTTTTTTAAATTGTATGGTTATTAGGTAAATTCTTCTTATGATTGGATGTTTTGTATTCTGTGTTTTGCCAACCATAATAAACTAAATCCAATTTGAGGAAGGAAAGATGCTTTGTTGGAATTTTTACCTAACCACTATTTCTCATGTAAGTAAAAAAAAAAAATATGTGTTAAAAAATGTCCATAAAACATTAATCAAATGTAACAGAGTACTATTTAGTTTCAATGTTACAAACTTAATTGTTACTTTGGCAAAATATTCATATTTAAATGTTTTAATTACATGCTTTGAAAATCCAAGTTCTAAATATCTTTATCTCTAAATTTCTTTTGTCACAAAAAATGGCTTGGGCACCATAAAAACATAGCAAGTTAAGGCTAGGAAGAAAATATATTGTTTCTTTTGCATATAATTATTTTAATATCATATTCATTTCATTATTTTATTAATCAATTACCTTTTTTTATTATCTTTAGAATTATCCGAGGTGACTGATTCTGAAGTTGGTGAAGAAGTATATCAAAGTGCAGTATTGAGAAGAATAAGAAAAGGAAATCTAAAAGGTGAAAATTCCGTCCGCAACTGTCGAAGAGTTAGCTTTGATCCACTAGCATTGCTTCTAGATGCTGCTCTTGAAGGAGAATTAGAATTAGTAAAGAAGACTGCAGCTGAAGTAATAATCACTGATTTTTGATTATTTTTCTAACCTTTCAACTTTCAAGTTATTTTGATGATTTGGGTATAGAAATTGTAATTTTTTTTTATTTTCAAAAATCAAGTGTTAAATTTTTTTTTTTACTTACAAATTTGTAAATCAAATTATTAAAATAATTACAAAATAAAATATGCTTAGTGGTTAAAAATTAATATTTTGAATTACATGCATAAAATTTTAAGGCTTTGTAGCCACTGCATATTTGCTGAGGTGGTTGCCACTCGGTGTGGTAGTGGTAAAGTTTGTTTCTAGTGGAGCATTGTTTTCTAAAAATTAAAAAAAAAAATATTTCTAAAAAAATAAATCATCTATGTAATGTTTCAGAGAACTGGATGCCACTTTGATCAAAAAATGCTGTGCATGTTGAACATCAACCTCTATCCCTTAAAACCCTCAATAAAGTGCTACCATCTATTGTTTGAAATTGCATCTAAATTAACTTTTTCCAAGATAGATTCAGGTTTGACGAAGAGATGAAGCCGAAATAAACTTCTCCCGATGGAAGTAACGAAACGATGAACTCAAAAAACATTACCCCAAGTAATACTTGGGCGTGACATTTTAAAACACCATTTCTGTGCATAAATGATAACTACATAGATTATTTCAGGCATGACAGTTAAAGGGTTAAACGAAATACATATGTTGAATAGCCTAATTTCTTTATCAATTTATGAAAAATGTATTTTTTTTCCCTACAGTATCAAAAAGGGCCAGTTTTGTTTATTTCAGTTAAATTTTATCTGTGTCATTTTATAGCTCATACTTGTAGCGTTATTCTAAAAAAATTACACATTAGACTCGTTTCCAAATAAATAACAGTATTACTCTAGGAAATATTTTTTTTCATTTCAGTTTATATTTAATTTCTTTAAGAGTATAACTTTTTCAGTTCCTTTTGATTTATATAGTGACCTGTTGTCATGAGCATTGTTTCTTTATATGAATGAGAACTAAATGGTTCTAGCAAAAAGAACTTAGTTCTCCTTGAAACCTCACTTTTTTAGATGAAATATTTTGTATCGTTACTATTTTTTAAAATCCTTTTAAGTGTTAAAGATAACTTTAAATTTAAAATTTAAATTTTTTTAGCACAAAACAAATTAATATATAAATTTTAATGAATAAATAATTAATGTATTAAATGAATAATGTTCAATGTAAATTATTCAAGTACTACTAAAAAAATTTAAAGATTGTTGGAAACCTCTTAGTTTAATTTAATTTTTATTTATTTTTTAAACTCTTCCAAATCTTTCTTTATTGAAGTCTATTATTATTTTGAGAAAAGACGAAACTCTTTATTTTTTTTTAGCTCTCTTTGGTTTAGTGACCTATTTATCTGAATTTTTGATTTTATTTATTAATATGGATTTGAAATAAATAAAATAAAAGCCTCTTCAAAGCCACTTATCTAGAGTGGGGAAAAAAATCTATATGTGAACAATAATGTTGTATTAATTTTCAATCATGAAAACTTTTTGATGCCTGTTAAACTAATAATTAATAAAGATTAAGGTTTTGTTTTCTGTTCAGTATTATATAGAACTTTTTATTTGCAAAAAATTCTGTTTTTCTTTTTTTCTTTTTTAATTTAGTGTGTCTTAGGTAATATTCTAGAACACTTTTAACCTTTTTTTAGATATTTAAGTTATTAGTTTCATCATTAATATTGTTCTATCAAATTTTATTAAAAATTTTAAATTTTCTTCTATTATATGAATGTAATATAAGCTGATATAGAGTTATTGTATTTGATATTGTCTTCATTTCACATAGTGTTTTAACAGTTAAAACTCTGGCTTTATTTGAGTTTTATTTTTAATTAATTGCTGTTTAAACCCTTTTTTTATCTGATTTTTTTTAAAATCTTTTAGCACTATACGATACTTGAACTTATAAGTATATAAATTTAATTAGCAAACAAAGTTATTATTATTACTTTAAAAAATGATAGCCTGTTCTGGATAGCATTTCTTGAACTTATCTCAGAATTTGTTGATTGAGTGTGAAATTCATTAAGACCATATACAGATTGTTCTGTAGTACCATATTAGCTTTTATCTATCATAAATGAGATACATTAATAATATTAATATATATTATTAAAGTTTAACACTTGAAATAGGTAATTTTTAGGTATGAATGGCTTTTTTGTCCCTTGTTTTGGATAACACAAACATGGCCATGACTGACACCTTTCATTTTTTGTTTGTAAGATTCTGGGAAATGTCCCTCTTAAGTGGATACCATTCCACGGGAGAAACTTTTCGTTTCTAATTTTTTTTTTACCTCCATAACTAACTTAAAGTGGAGAAAAAGTGAGCTCAGATAAACTTAGAAAAAGCCATGAAGTTTTAAATACTGAGAAGAAATTTTAAAATATCAAAATAAGAATAAATTATTAGAAGATAACTTAGAATTTTGGAATTTATAAGTTATCTTCGAATAATTTGTTTGCATTTTGATGTTAGGAATTTTTTCCCCAGCTATTGAAACTTCGTGACTTACTCTAGGCTTGCCTGAACTCACTTTTTCTTTCTTTTGAATTTTTAATTAGTAATAAAGGAGAAAGATAATTTGTGATGAAAATTCTCTTCCACAGTATGGCGTCTTCTTAAAGGGTATCACAATCACATAACATTTTCTAGCAGATGTTTTTTAGATAGTAGAAGTACCCAAATCTCTACTTTCATACTTTTGATTCAACAAACCTTATGACTTTGTGTGGGGGGTTATGACTATTAGTCCCCATGGGAGAATGTTTGGGAAGAGAAAGGCATTATAAATGGTTGAAATGGGTATGGTTGAAAAATGTTAAGGGAAAAAAATGGGAGCGAAATATCAATCTCTGTTGTGGTTGTGACAACTCTTAATATATAATATTTAGAATATTTACCAAAGATAAGGTAAGTACTTTAGGAGTTATGAATTAACATTTATGCAAAAGACAAATGAATTAAAATACAGCGAACTGTTGCTACAACTATATTCGATACAACAACTCCCTCTATTACAATAATGTTTCGTGGTTCAGACAAACTTGCATATGAATTAATGTTATCTACCTCTCAATATTGTGATATTTTTTGAAGCAATAAACCCCTCTAAAACGATTTTTTAAAAAAAAATTTCAACCTGATTTTCTCCATTTATTATTGGTTTTTAAATAATGTAAAAAAAGCAACTTATTTTTACTTAGTCATTTTTTTTCTGTCTTTTCTGACAAGAGTAAGCTCACTGCTGATTATGTACTTATCTTATTTCTTTTCACTGCAGTGAAAGATTCAAGATTTGTATTCAGATTTCAATATCCTATCCTTGATGTACATTGACCACCCCAAGACCTTCCATTCTATTCTTAGAATTGCTTCCCTTATCTCTCAAGAAGTCACAGATGTAACATTCCTGTCTGATTTCATATTTAACGATAATTACCACTTTGCAAATTAAATTTTTATAATATATAAGTATATTTATAGTTAATACATAAAAAGATATATAGTTAATACATATAAAACATTAAAATTAAAAATTTTTTTTGTGTCCCCAAAGTATGTAGGCCCTTGATATAATAATATATCCCTCTGCAACAGTATATTTATTTGGTCCCCAAAATATTGTTGTAGTGAGGTTTTACTGTATAAGGAATAATATCAGTATTTAAGTTAAACATGTTTTCATGTTATGTAAATATTAATGAGGTGTTTTGTTGACCTTCAGGTCCCTAATCCAAGCGCTGCTAATGATGAAGGAATCACAGCTCTTCATAATGCTATTTGTGCTGGTCACATCGATGTTGTTACTTTCCTTGTCGAATTTGGATGCGATGTAAATGCTCAAGATAGTGACGGATGGTAAGCAATTCTTTACTTTTCGCATTAAGGCAGGTACTGAGTTGAACTAAAAATAATTTCTTTTGAAGAATCTTCATTATTTAATATTTTTGCTATAAATAATGTTTTCCTGAATTTTGTAAGCATTTAAAATAATAACGATGAAACTTTGAAATCATATTTTACACTGAAAAGATAATGCTCCTTTGTAACTTCCAAACTTATTTAAATATACAGTGAATGCTCAATATAACATGTACTGCATATTTCAAGAACTTTGCTTTTATGACTAATTTCCAAATAACCATCAAATCGCTAATGAAAAAATGAGTTATTTTGTCCTTTCACTTTTCGAAAATATATTTTAGAGAAACATGTTTTCTGTTCTTTGATTGAGTAATGGATATGATAAATGTTTTAATTGAAGGCATTTTTATTTATTTCTGATGTAATACGGAAATGGAAAAGGAATGTTGTTTCCCTTCTTACTATTGTAACCTCTTTATTTTGTAAAACAATGTCTTGCAATCACAGTCTTTCTTCACTAGAAAAGAGAATTTCTTTAGCTGTTTTTTTGCAGCTTGCTATGCTCTTTAAAGAAAAAAAGAATAAATAAAAAAGTCCTTTTTGTTTACCATTTATTTATCATACTCCCTTTTATTTGCAACTTCTCGACTTATCAATGGTGTTAAAAAGATATTTCACTTCATAAATTTTTTTTGTGTGCGTAAAGTTACGATTCAGAAACTTGTTCAATCATTTCTGTCGTATACGCAATCTGCGTTTCATAAAGTGCAATGCAACTTAATTCACTCTCCAATCTGTAAACAAAGCAATCTAGATTTGCATGTTCATTCAAAATAGTTGTTCAAACTAAAAGAATAAGAGGTAAATACGTTTATTTCATTTTTTAAGTCTTTATATTGCTAACGTTTAAAATGAATATTTGCTTATTAAGGTGATAATTGCATCTGAAGTGTACTTTTATTTTATTGTTACATAATATTGCAGGACACCTCTTCACTGTGCCGCCTCTTGCAATAATTTACCTATGGTGAAATTTCTGGTGGAAAGGGGTGCTTGCATCTTTGCAACTACTTTGAGTGATCATGAAACAGCTGCTGAGAAATGTGAAGAGGATGAGGAAGGGTTCGATGGATGCTCTGAATACCTCTACAGTAAGTATTTCTGCATCATACATGCAGCATGGTGCATAGCATTTTTAAAAACTGCTTATTTTTAATTTACGTTTTTAAAAGCCCTTAAGGGTGCCTTTTTTATTCAGGGTTTGTAAAAAGTGCTTAATTTTCTATCTTTTAAGAGATTTTTTTTTTTTTTACTTTGATTGTCGTTCTAAATTACACAAAATGCATGATTTTCACAATTTTCTCTGTAATATTTATCAGAAACTAGTTACTTTACTGTGATTATGTAAAGTTTTTGAATTTTACTGATTTTATATTTATAAATTAAGAACTTTAAACGATAGAAAAATATAACTTTTATTCCTGCACACATCCTAATATGATTTCCTTTTGGAAAGTGATAAAAAATATTTTTTAAATGCTTAAAACGTACTTAAAAGGTGCTTATTTTTTGTTGAAAAATCTGACTCCGCACCCGCTACTGGGTTGGTGTCTTGTTTTCTCCCAGAAAAGATGTGAACTAGGTTCAGACAGCCCTGGGAAAATTGTTGTTCTAATACAAAAAATTTTATCTCTAAAAAAATTTTAATATACAGTTTATTTTAAAATAATTGTTAATTCCTTATGCCATATCAACTTAATGTTGATAAAAAAATATTTTCTTGTTATTTAAATTTAACACAAGTAACTTTATATAGTTTGTCTAAAGTAAGAACTCCCCCCGCCACAAAGTCTGAGGTCGTCTGCTGCTATGGAAGCAAGAATAGCACTCTTTACTCTAGGGCTAACACAGTAGACAAAAGAAAAATATTGCCTTTCTTTCGTTGACCCGAGTCGAAATCTGTCCTAAACAATAATCCCACACCTCTGCTTGAAATGGTTATACCTCATTTCCATAGTCACCACGAAGAGTCTAAATGAATGGCTAGGGTAGTTCTTACTTAACACAAACTATATGTTAATTTGTTTATTTATTAGTTTAATTTCCTTAAGTTTCAAAATTTGCCAAGGTAGACCCCGTCCAGAAAAATGCATTGTTTTCTTACAGAATGCGACCACTTTAAAAAAAATCCATCTTTATATCTGAGAAGATTTTTTTTACTTTTTATCAGTAATCATACTAAATTTTCTTTGTTCTTTGAAACCATCACCTTATTATTTTATAAATTTAACTTTGTAACTTTTTATACAAAATTGTAAGAAGTATTTTATATTTCGGTAATCTGGTTTTTGCTAGCAAAAATTTAATATACATGAACTAAATACAAAGCAAGCAATAAAGTTAATATTGCTAAAAAAATATATTGCTGAATTATAATAAATTATCTATAAAACAAATTATGTGTAATATACATATACATTACACTTATTGTAGAATGTATTTGGATTGTAAACCTTTCTGGTTTTGTTCAAATACATCAAGCGATATATATACATTATGCATATTCAATATTTCAAAATGAATATGATTCCTGATGTTTTCCGACAAAGAATTCAAAAATAAGTTTTTTAGTTATAAAATATGTTTGTAATCAGTATTTTAAAAGGTTAGACTGAAATATTCCCATTATGTTTGAAGATTTTTAATATCAACTGTACCAAGGCAGATTATTATTATTATTTTCAATTCTGCGATTGTTTTTCCACTGGGAGAGAAACTTTCCTGTCTGTAATATCTTGCTTTTTTGCTTTTAGGTTTACAGGAAAACCTTGGAGTTATGAATAACAGTGTTGTGTACGCTGTGTATGATTATGAAGTTCAAAATGCGGATGAACTGAGTTTTCGAGATGGAGACATGCTCACTGTTTTGAGGAAGGGGGATGACGAGGAAAGTGAATGGTGGTGGTCTCGTTTCTTAGATGAAGAAGGTTATGTACCTCGTAATCTCTTAGGAGTGAGTATTCCCTATTCTTTATAATTTACATATCTTAATTAAGTATATTTCTTCGAAAAATATTTCCAAATTATCTCTATTCTCCTAACATAATTATGTACAGACGTACCTGCAAAGTCTTCTGTTTTAACGAAGACTCTTATGATTTACTACTATCTCCTGTTTACCCGTACATTCTCGAATTTCTCCGTATTTGTTGGAAAATTTCTTTTAAAAAATTTTGGCGATAAAATATTCGCTGGTGGCAAAATGACTAATCTTATTCCTCAACAGGTATTGCCAGTACTGCAGTATGTTGAGTGGTGGCTCAAAGGATAGACTCAAAGGATAGAGATCTTCCAATGTGGTGAACCGAGTTCGAATCTCAGCAATGGCTAGTCTGTACAAATTTTACATCCGGCTTGCACTGACCGTAGTGCTGACATAAAATATCTTCAGTGGTAGATGAATCATGGGTTAGAGCATGGGTGCAAGTCTTCCGTCCCCAGGACGGATTTCCGTCTTTCGAAAATGTCCGCGGACAGAAGTAAGACGGAAACAAGACTGACTCGAAGACGGAAATCGGAATTTTTTTCTTTCCTTAAAAATATTTTTTAGGTCTACGTTATTGGTCTACTTTCTTATGTCCTGTTGTTTTATCAAAAGACAGATGAATAAATATTTTTTGTTCAGTACTTAAACTTGATGTATTATGGTAAAGCTTTCTTAGATAGTTTGCATATGTCGAGGGGGTATTGTGTATGTTAGGTATTTTAGTCAAAAAATTTTCAGACTTGGCCTTTTTTCCAACTTGCACCCATGGGTTAGAGTCCCCTTGCCATCAGGCTAACTGTGGGAGGTCTTAGTGGATTTCCACTCCATGTAGCACAAATGAATGTAAATCTATCAAAAAGTCCTCCACGAAGGCAAATTTCTCCCAATACTTGATCCAGGAGTTCCCTTGTCTTCTGGATTGGGTTCAAAATTACAAGACTACAGAGTTGAACATAAGTAGTTTTGAACCTTAAATTTGGTTGGTTGTTCAACAACGGTTATAAAATAAAATTGTTTAAGTGATTATATATAATAGTTATAATTTTTTTATTTATTAAGGTTTATATTCATATTTTTTACTTGTAAATGTAATTACCCTAAATGTAAGTGCTTATATTATTTCCAATTTTGAATTTCTCTTTTTGGCTTACATGACTATGCATGATGTATCAAAACTTTACTCGTTGGCCTAAAAAATGTCAGTAGTAAAATCTCCGTTATTTTATTTCTCCAATGTGGGCAGGTATGTATAGATACATAACTGGACAGGGTTGTCACTTCCTTGGGAGAACAGGGAAAACCTGAAAAATACAGGGAATTTAAAAATCACCTAAAATAACATGGAAAAGGCAGGGAAATTTGATTTTTTTCTTTATGAACTGGGAACCGAGATGATTGTGCTCCGAAAAAAAATCCGGACTTCCGGAGTTTTCGGTAAACGCGATCTGAAAGTTTCCAGAAATCCGGTGTCCAAATTTTCAAGAAATTATTGATCACATTTATCCTTGTATAAAAAGATTTTTATATTTTATTTAGAAATATTAGAACTCTAATTTATGCTTGGCATCTCTTTCATTTGTAAATATTTTTTCTAGTAGAATAATAAATGTGTTTAGAGATAAAAGTAAACTTATGCATAATTATTTATTTAAATTATGCAGCATGTAATTTATTTAGAATTTCATGTTTTGAAAATATCAATGAAAGCGTAATCTTTGGGATATTTAAGCATGATATTTCAGCTATACTAAACTATTTCATTTACTATAGCATTATTTAAGTATGTTCCTTTTTTTTCTCTTAAGTTTTTATAGGAATTAAAACTAATAGATTTAGTTAGCCAAATATAGCTCACACAATAGCACAGTAATTGTTGCGTTTCCTCTTAACATATTATGTATAATGTATACAGGGAATTTTTTTCTTCTAAATTTTAGTGGCAACTCTGCTGGAGTTAGTATATTTTTGTAATTCTACTTTAAAAATATATAAAGCAATATATGTTTTGGTTTTGTAAAATAAGGGTGCCAACTTAGTAACTTTTCCTTTTTCGTCTCAAAATTAGAAAACATCTTTTTAAAATGGCTAATAAAATCAGATTTTTTTTAACAGCCCTTTTATTATCTATCTATTGAGCATTTTTTTTCACTTTCTGCACAAACCTTACCTTAATGTTTCCACATGTGAATCAATTTATTTGTTCTTAACTGCTAATTAGTTTCCTTATATGTTTCATCTAATTTACTAAAAAATTCTCAAATTTTTTATGAAAAATTAAATTAACTACGGGAAGTCAATGAAAAAAAATTAGTTTTTACTTATTTGGTTGCTTAAATCTTAATTTAAGTATGTAATAATGCTTAATAATTGTAGCCTAATGCAATGCTTAATGTAAAATCCCATGATTTCATTACTAAATCTTATGATTATTTTTACAAAATAAAAATGAATCCTTTTATTATTATGTTGCATGATGCATAGCGTTTTTAAAAAGTGCTTAAAGGTGCTTATTTTCGATTTTCGTTTTTTAAAAGCTTTTCAAAGTGTTTTTTTCATGGGATGTTTTTAATAAGTGCTTAATTTTCCCTTTTCGAAAATGAGATTTGTTTCGTTACCATGCCAATTTTAGACACCTATTATGCAAAAACGTGCTTTTCACATTATTCTATTGAGCGTTTTCACAATTCATTCGACAATCTATTTCGGCATACCATAGCGTATGAAAGTGCCAATAATTTTACATGTTTGATGTAGTACTTACGAGGCCGCATGTGCATCTACTGAGCTGGGTTTGAGGAGATTCTTGCACTCTCATGTACTATTCTCTTCACCCTCTGATATAGAATCGAAAAATCTCTTGATCATTTTATAATGGCTAATATAGTCAATAAAAGAGCTCTTAGTCAAGAACTAATTATTTTGTCATAATCATGTAAATTCTTTGAAAATTATTTTGAATTTTGTCAATGCATATATTTCTTGAAATATTTTTTGAGTACTTAAAAAGGATTTATTTTTGTTCAAAGATTTGGCTACACACCCTGTGTTGTTAATTATTGTAAATTATTTTGCAGTTATATCCTCGTGTGACTTGCAAGAAGGATCAAGAACTTGCCAAGGCTGCTGAGTAACAAAATATTTTTTTCTAATTATGAAGGATGACCTTATTTCATACACAGAATCTTCTACATGTGATACACTTTGATGAATCTCAAGATTGTGGTGCCTTTTTCAAGTGCCATGCCCATTGTCCTCTATGTCATTGGAAGTTTACATGCCATAAGTGCCAAAACTGCTTTTTACACGCCATTTTTTGAGATGCTGTTTTACTTCCGTCCCTTTTTGCACTCATTGAATAATAAATCATGATTTTTTTAGAATTGCAATATTGTTTATATTAAAATATTCTCACCTAGTGGCTATTTATATTTGTGAATGAAAATAAATTATTTTTTATCGAAATTTATAAATTGCCTTCATTGTTATAAGTGCCTATTTGCCATGAAATGTCAATAAAGATTTTAGATTAAAAGTCTTTCTGACTCGTGTGAATCATTTTTTATTTTAATAATCACTTTGCTCCTAGTTTAGTTTTTAGTCTAGTTATTTTACTAAAAGTGTTGTTGATCTTGGAAAAATTATTTTAGTTTTAAATAATGTTTTGTCTATGACCAGGAATGGCAAGTTTCTTCCGGAGTGGAAAAACTGCTTTGAAAGAAATACTCGTAGCTTTCTTCCAACTCAAGTGGAAGAAATTTAAAAAAAACTCTTTTTCGAAAAAAACAGCATTAATTCAGTTTTTTAAGCAATTTATAATTGTAATCTAGTTTAAATAATGAAATTATTTTTAAGCTGTTTGATATGTTAACATAGTGCTCGAAATTTGGGTTTTCTTCTCTTTTTAATTTAGTGTGTCTTAGATAATATTCCAGAGCATTTTTAACCTTTTTTAGTTATTTAAGTTTTCATGGTGCATAGCGTTTTTAAAGTGTGCTTAAAGGTCCTTATTTCCAATTTTTGTAATTTAAAAGCCCATAAAGGTGCTTTTTTTATTGGGTGTTTTTAAAAAGTGTTAATTTTCCCTTTTCAAAAATATTTTTTTCTCTTTACTATTTCTATTTTTTGCTTTGCATTATCAGGGTGCGTAGCGTTTTTAAAAGTGCTTAAAGGTGCTTATTTTTGATTTACAATTTTTAAAAGCCCTTAAAGGTGCTTTTTTTTATTCGGTGTTTGTAAAAAGTTCTTAATTTTCTATCCTTTAAAAATCGATTTTTTCTTTGCCTTATCGACTATCGTTCAAAATTACAAAAACTGCATGATTTTCATAATTTTCTCTGCAATATTTCGCAGAGAGTAATTATGTCATCATAATTACGTTTTTGATCATGATAAGTTTTTAAAAATGTTTTTGAATTTTATTGATTTTATGTTTATGAATTAAGAACTTTAAACGATAGAAATTTTTTTATTTTTATTACTGCACAGATCCCAATTATGATTTTTTTGGAAGGTGATTAAAAATATTTTTTGAGTACTTGAAAAGTACTTAAAAGGTGCTTATTTTTTTAATTGAAAAACTGGCTACGCACCCTGATTATGCAAAAGCGTGCTTTTCACATTGTTCTATTCAACGTTTTTTACATGTTTGATGAAATACTATGTGTAACTCTGCTCCATTTTGAAAAATATTCTCTGTTTCAGACTTCATTTTCCCCCTTCCGATATCGAACTGAAAAATCTCTTGATCATTTTATAATGGCTAATATAATCAAGAAAAGAGTTCCTTGTCAGAAACTAGTTATTTTATCATGATCATGTAAAGTCTTTGTTTTGCATTTTGTTAACGTATAGAGTGCTTAAAAGGTGCTTATTTTTTGTTTAAAGATTTTTGCACCCTGATTAAAATAATGAAAACTACAAAACAACACTTGGAAAAAAATAAATTTAATCAATTTCTTAATTTAAATAACTAGTTTATTAATGTTTTATGTAAATGAGTTGAGTAAAACAAAATTTTATAATTTTATAAAGAGCTGTTAAAATATAATTTAATTTTATCAATACTACTAAATTAACAAATCACATAAAAGATGTATACTATAAAAACACATGGAATTCACGATTACAAATAGCATATTAGTTTTCATAATCAAAAACTTAAGTATGACTACTCCAACTGACTCTTATATAATGTCTGTTTAAAGAAAATTGGAAAAAGTAGAAAATTTGTGCATGAAACTAAAAAAAAAGTTTTTTTTTCCATTTTAAATCGATGTAAAAAATACTTTACTTTCTGTTTTAAACTTAATGTATTTAAATTTCACCTATTCTAATAAAACTTGTTGCTAAACAATTGTATTGATACAGGGTTGTCACAGGCGACTAAAATGCGACTTTTGCAACTATTTTCTGTTATATTACTGAGGCAACTCTTTTGTCTGAAAGGGCTAAAACAGAAAATATTTTCAGGAAAGGGAAACTAGTGGGAGACTTCTGTACTCTTAGCGATGTTTTTTTTAGCATTAATTGGGTTGACAACCTGTGGCCCGCGGGAGCTTCTGAACACAATGAGTTTTTTTTCTTAAGAAATTTTGAAATTTAAGTTTGAGTCGTCCCTTTTTTAATGCGCTCAATTTGCCCAGATTCCATTGGAAGTCTATTTTGCTTCTCGATCGCCTTTTCAACTGTTATTGCAACAAAATTCCGCATGATTTTAAAAAACCCAATTTTTAATGCGATATTACGATGCGTGAATTTCGAATTTGAACAATCACTTTTCACAATATTATATATATACTAGGAGGCTTCGCTAACTGCTCGCTGGCGCTCGCCAGCCCCCGGAACTGCTTTCGCAGTTCATTTCGGATTGCTTTGCAATCCGATGCTCGCTTTACTCGCTCATTGGATACGTTCTTAACGTCTAGCTTTTGTATACTTTTTTGAACACTGAAGTTCCGAAAACTTTTCACTGTAGAAAATTCTAAACCTGTGCATTTCAATATTAATTTGAAATTGCAAACAGTTCACATATTTTTCTTAATCACACTATTCTAAATTTCAGTTGTTGAGAAAAGTAACTGTTGTAAGTTTTGCTTTAAAGTCTTTCCCACCAGAGGGCTAAAACCATGTGTTGTAAAACAATATGAAATAGAACTGAACGCCGGATGTAAAGCATCAGCTTCGATGAAGATAATTTTGTGAGAAATTTTTTGATAATTCGATGAGAATTCACCTGATTAGCCATATGATGCTCACTACGTGCTCTTGCACGCCGAAGCCCATCAATTAAAAATGAAAACTGTTGCCAACGCGAGAAAAGAAATATCGGTTTCATTGATACATACGTATTAGCGTTTTGCATAATATAGATAGATTATCTAAATCAATTATTGATAAAAGGGAAAAAATTTTAGAAAACGAATGTTTTTTATGAAAAAGTATTTTTTTGAATGAATTCTAGTAATTAAAAGTATTAAATTTTCTGCAAATATACTACTAATTTTTTTGATTTAAAAATGTAGTACTAGAATGCTAACGTTTATATAAAAATGATCTTATTAGCCACCAACTTAACTAAATGGATCATGTTTTTGTATGGATCACCCATTAAATCATATTTCATGTTTTTGTATTGAATGAGTATTTTAAATGTATTTGGCGACAAACAGTCGATGTCAACTTTAGTGAGCATGTTTTTCCCACAGCATATCAAAACGGTAACAGAGAGAGAAAATTATAACTCGAACAGTTCGAATGAAGGCTTGAGTATTTCGCAATTAGAAGCTAGCGAGCCATGATGGCCCAAAAGATAGAGCAATCGCCTCCCAATTAGGTGAACCAGGTTCAAATCCCAGCAACAGCTGGTCGATATGAATTCTGCATCCGGCTTAACCGACCACAGTGCTGACGTAAAAATTTCCTCAGTGGTAGATGGATGATAAGTTAGAGTCCCTTTCCCATCCGGTTAACCGTGGAAGGATCTTGAGGTATTCCTCCCCATGTAACGTAAATGCGGGTTAGTTCCCTCGAAAAGTCTTCCACGAAGGCAAATTTCTTCCAATATTTGATCCAGGAGATTCCTTGTCTTCTGGATTGGGTTCAAAATTACAAGGCTACAGAATTGGATATTAGTAGTCATAAACTCAAAAATCGGGTCGACTGTTCAACGAGAATTATAAATATAAAATGCTAAACTTAAAACGTAACCCTAAACCAGCAAATTCCGTAGACTTAACGAATTCGATGGGCTTTAATTCTACCATTCAGGTAGTTCCATATCAGATAGAGATCATTATAGAACATCTGAAATTTTTAAAATTTATTTTTTGTAGTAGTCATGGTATATTCGAATTGAAAAATTATTTATAAACAAATATATTTTATCGGAGCTCAATATTGAATATATTTAGAATTGGGCATAAATTGTTTCTACGGCGGATAATATAACCGAGAAAAGAATTCTTTGCCAGAAACTAGTTATTTTACCATGAACTTCAAAAATTATTTTGCATTTTGTTGACATGTTTATGAAGAAATTTCAACAATATGAAGGGGAAAAAAATTATTAGTGCGCATATTCTAATTATGATATTTTTTTTAAAGTGCTTGAAAATGCTTTTTAGTGCTTAAAAAGTACTTAAAAGCTGTTTATTTTTTGTTGAAAAATTTGGCTACGCACTCGGTAAATGTTTAAGTAATATTGTACGCAAAATGCTTTCAAGTCGGAAGACATGGGTGTGAAATAATCAACTACTACTAATATTCAAACTAATATTTCAAAATTTTGATTTGAAAATATTTCAAATACAGAACCCTGTGTTAGCCAAAAGTAATTAGTACATTCAAGACTTTAAGTACATTAGTACATACAGACAAATAATGAGTTCTCATGGTTTCCTTATTGATCACTTTTTTATATGATGGGATTTTCGGTGCTCCCTCCCCCTCCCCCCACCCCAATTCTAATTACTAATTAAAGGTTGCTCCCATGTTCCACTTGACCCTTCTACCTGTTTCACCCGCCTAATGATAATACAATTCACCCGTCACCACTACGTAACAAATTACTCCCAGCCAAAAATTTTCATTTCTCCCCTCAAACAAATGCCTTAGCTCCCACGCTTTGTGGAAACATTCTATCTAATCAAATAACTAATTTCTAAGAACATTTTTATAGGTAAATTTTTTTTTGTTGGTTCTGTTGAAAGAAGAAAAAAAAAATGTTTGATCGATAAATCTGTGACATTAACATAAGCGAAAGATAGGTTACATAAAAAAAAAAAAAATAATAATAATGCACAGCTGTTTGGAATATTTCATTCTAGTTTCATCTTATCCTTTAGCCTTACTTTCTTTTTTTAAAGTTAAGAAAGATCATGAAGAATAATAGAACCTTCATTAGTTCGGAAATTAAGGGCTTATTCAAAATTCCTCCCCTAAAAAGTAGAAAAGTGTAATTGCTAAAAAAAAGCAGCTTGTTATTAAGCTGAAAAAGGTTTTGTAAATGAGCTAATTTGAGTCCTACACTAAACAAAG